ACTAGAATATCCGTCGCATCCTCATTGGTGAGCCTAACGTGATCTGGTACACCAAGCCAATATACTGTGAGTCCGTTCCATTTTGGAATATTATTATTCATTGTTATTCTTTATTTGAATTTTATATATTGTGATATACATTTTTTCGCAGATTTTTTTCCCGGATATATTTTAATTAGACATTTTTTGTTATCTATATTACTGTGACGGAACACTCACCCAAGGTTTGTAAGTTAAAGTCTATTCCCCCTATTTCGATTCAGTTAACGCCATTTTGGCCCGACAATATCGAGTCCTGGTTCTGCTATGCAGAAGCCGATTTTTGCATGCACGGAATCACGGACTCGCGCACACGTTTCCTCGCGGTAGTTAAGGCGTTACCGCGCGAGTTTAACAGGTACGTAACACCTAGTATGTTTATTAGTGATGTTCCCGAACCTTACGAATCACTTAAGCTATCGATTTTAAAACGAGGAGACCTAACTGATCGACAACGGTTAGACCAACTCTTCCATAACATCGACTTGCAACATGGTTCTGCGACGGACATGTTGCTTAGAATGAGAGAAGTCATCGGCCAACGAACTTTCGATGATGGCCTATTTAGACAACTTTTCTTGTCTAAACTCCCTCAACAGGTGCAGGCAGTGCTTGTTTCATTTCAAAACAATGCCATAGATGAACTAGCTGCATCTGCCGATCGAATCTTGGAAATCACTAGATCTTCTAAGGCCGAGGTTTTTTCCGTCAAAGAAAAACCTCAATCGACCCCGTCTGACATAGCCGAACTATGTCACATGCTTACACGATATCTTAGAGTTCGTAATGACCGTAGTCAGTCAAAAACCCCGCGTAGAAGTGTCTCACGTAGGCGATCTGGCTCTCGACCACGAGAGACAGACAATCCCGACTGGTGCTGGTATCATAACCAGTACAGTAAGTCTTCCAGAAATTGCAGGAAACTCTGCAATTATCCGACCTCAAAATCGACTGACACGAATAAGATCTCGGGAAACGTCCCAGCCGGCACGCGTTAACGGCAACCGTAGCAGGCGAACACAGCCGTCTGTTATACGTCACAGATGTGACTACGAAAGTTCGCTACCTCGTCGACACTGTGTGTTACTGTGTGTTCGAGAAACTCTGAAATTCGAACATCAAAAACACACTACCTTGATGTATGTTCATTTAATTTTCATTGAGCTATTCTACCACTGCTTTCACGGTTTTTTCGTGTGATTTTAAGTCAGGAATGTCAATTAACATAATTGATTGATCACTGGGTGGTGATCAATGTCATGCATGTCAAGTCCTTCTTAGTGCTGATAGAATGCTATCGATGGCTCGACACTGCTTGCACTATATATATATATACATATATATATATATTGAGGTAAGGTGGTGGTTGGAGTTGGTCAACAGGAAACCCTGGACCCGGGTTTCATTCTACTTGGCTCTCGTCAGCAAGGTGTACCTGTAATCTTCGAGGGAACTGATGCTCCCTGGCGGATTCGATCCCGTGTCACTCAGCTTCACAGTCAGAGACGTTACTACTGTGCTTTTGGAGCCGTGACCAACCTCTTGTAGGACTGAGATGTAATCACAATTGATTGATCACTGGGTGGTGATCAATGTCATGCATGTCAAGTCCTTTTTAGTGCTGATCGAATGCTGTCGAACAATGTCAATTAACAAATAAATGTGTTGTTTTGGTCAATAATATAACCCTGAAAGTGAGTGCCACAGCATGTTTTTGACCAGACATTCTCTCCAAAAGCTTTGATACTTTACGATAACCTATCTCCGGTTTTAGCGTAGTACAACGGAGGATAATGGTTACAGCTTTTCCATCACAATGCTGGGTTAAGTAATTCAACTTAAATCTAAATTCAATATTCGCACCTCCGATTTATTCCTCGAAGTTTCTAATAAAATTCTAATGATTCATCGGTGTACCATTTTACATTAAGATTTCTTCCTTTCGTAAATACAGACTTTCTAATATTTCATTATCGCTGTTACTTACTGATTGGCCGAGACCCTCACTTCCCTGACGACGTAACATTTCGTCGTTTAATTTCTTTCTCCAGTTGGGTTTCACCTAACCTGAATGACCCTACGTGTATGACGTTATTGGTTTTGTGTTCATCCCTTTCAAAATGGTCCTCGCCATAATCCCCTAGATGATATAACGACTCAGGATTTTCATCAGAATTATAGTACTTACTGAGAGTGATTTTGGTGAGTACGTCGAATTTACTGTTTAAAATTGTGTAGGAAGTAATTTACTACAGATGCAACACGGAGAACACCAACCCAATCACACTTGATGGCGAAACTCTGGAAGAGGTGGAAACATTCAAGTACCTGGGGAGCATCGTTGATAAACAAGGAGGATCGGATGCAGATGTAAAGGCGAGGATTGGCAAAGCAAGGGCAGCATTTCTACAATTGAAGAACATATGGAACTCAAAACAACTCTCAACCAATTTCAAGGTCAGAATCTTTAATACGAACGTCAAGACAGTCCTACTGTATGGAGCTGAAACGGCCATCATCAGGAAAGTACAAGTATTTATAAACAGTTGTCTACGCAAAATACTCAACATCCACTGGCCGGATACTATCAGCAACAGCGTTTTATGGGAGAGGAGAAACCAACTTCCAGTTGAAGAGGAAATAAGGAAAAGACGTTGGAAGTGGATCGGACATACATTAAGGAAATCACCAATGTGCATCACGACTCAATCCCTAACTTGGAATGGTGAAGGGAAGCGGAAAAGAGGAAGGCCAAAGAACACACTACGCCGGGAAATAGAAGCCGATATGAAAAGGCTGAATAATGACTGGAAAGAACTGAAAAGGAAGGCTCAGGACAGAGTTGGATGGAGAATGCTGGTGAGCGGCCTATGCTCCTCGACGAGGGGTAACAGGCGTAAGTAAGTAAGTAAGTAAGCAATTCCAAACTACTTCATAGATTATCAAGTACAGAGTCTTAGCTTGACTAAAGTCAGAGCAAGTAAGCTGCCTGACTTGATGAACCTTTTCTGTTTCTAGAGCATAAATTCGCGCTGTTAGTTTACAAACAAACGATTATTACAGCCAACCAAACGAGGAGAAAGCGACACACAAATAACATACGGAACAGTAACCAGATGTTAGGGAAGGCGAGTAAAACAACCCTACAATCGTTTTGTTGGGGATGTTAGATCTCCAGAACTCACTTGGTAAACACCTTATTTCTGTAATCTTATTTTGAAATTTTGAATTTATTTGTTTTTGCGCCGAAAGCACTCTTGTCACCTTTGTGTCATATATCTTACTTGGGAAGTCTTAGATGCTATTGGTTCGTTGCGTCTTTTAGTATGTTATTTGGTAACGCTTCCCAAGGACAGTTTGACGATGTATATATACGTTTGATTCGTGCCTGTTGGGTCACCTGTGATTCCGGCTGCTTGAGGGATATATTTATTCCCCGTCCAAACCTCGACTTCTCTCTCTAAATAGCGGGGCTGGGACTCATCAGAATAGCTAGCTTATCGGTCTTTGTTCACAAGTCTTTGTTCTGTTCGCAAACTAGGTGAACTAGTAATTGCTTCGAACACAGCACATTTGTAATAAACATAAAGAGTATGGTGAACGTACAGTCATACAAGGTCAATGAGAGTTAATGTAGTGGTGAGTGTTTAATTTTGACATTGGTGGGTTCCTTCATCGATCACGACTAACGATCACTGTTAAAAATGGCATATAGCAAAGTAAGCTGCCCATAAAGCTTTGTAATTTTCGTGTTGCATTCCTCAGGTCAAACGGCATGCGTACAAATTCAAGCAGTCCAAAATGTGTAGTATAAGCTGTCATAGGGATATCCTCCTCAGCTACTGTGATGCTTTGATAGGACCTGACCAAGTCGATTTTAGTAAATATATCCATACTTTGTGTATTGATGAATAAGTCCTCGAAGTAAATAGTTCTGTAAGCCCTCAATATTTGATGTTGACTGCATTGGTTTTACTGCAATCACCTGGTTGAAGGTATTAGGCCACACATATGCATCAGATCACGAGTGGGTACGCCGAGCTACACATTCCTTTCAACTGTTAGCCAGTTTAGACAAAACGTCCCTCGACATAGCGATAGCGTTCTACAAACATATTCGAAGGCCTTCATTTCTCTCTTCTAATTTGACCGGATCGGCATACTTCGAATATAAAGGTGTTACTATTGAAATCGTCGTCAAACCCCAAATACCCTTGGCATCTTTATGACTGAACTGAATTTTTTGGCAACCAAGGGTACTGAACTAAAGGAGTTACGTGGATAGTCTCACATGAAGATGTCACATGTATTGTAGTTCGACAACATTTCACCATCAACACCTTCTATAATTGAATCGTACTCACCCAGTGAAATGAAAAGTCAGAAGCGAGGAGGTCGGAAGATATCAATGTATAGAGAAGTGATTGATCTAAGCTGACTAGCGATCGCAGGAGAAGTTGAGCGCAACTTTCCCACTTGTGATCTGGTGCGGATGCATGACCTAGAGTCTTCGCAACAACTTTATATTCAAAGTATGCCGATCCGGTCAAATTAGAAGAGAGAAATGAAGGCCTTCGAATATGTTTGTAGAACGCTATCGCTATGTCGAGGGACGTTTTGTCTAAACTGGCTAACAGTTGAAAGGAATGTGTAGCTCGGCGTACCCACTCGTGATCTGATGCATATGTGTGGCCTAATACCTTCAACCAGGTGATTGCAGTAAAACCAATGCAGTCAACATCAAATATTGAGGGCTTACAAAACTATTTACTTCGCAGAATTGTCTTCGCTACAAAGGCTGTCCACACAAAAATACAATTAATGGTATGAACAACACTGCTGTACATTTTGAAGGAGGAGCTGAACCAAAATGGAGACATTTGTCGTAAATAAACTTTAAGTCCAGGCCAGTTTATTACCCTTTGTACTGCTTTACAAACATTATCTATTAATTGAACATCGAAGCGTTAGGATGCGGCTTGTCCATTTCGGTGCGTTACTCTTGCACCAAGATTTCTATCTTAATGCGTAGTTTATGATTGGACCATATTTATTGGAAATGATGTTAGAGGTTAAAAAAGCATTTATTAACTTTTTGAGGATGAACAATGATTCAAGTCCTGATCCTCTCAAAGCATGTTCACATGGAAATGTTCATGTAAACGGATATTATCCTAGTCCGGTGCCTAACAGTAGTGTTATTCACACAGAACACTACAATAAAAACAATGACCGTGTTCGTCGCCTTAGTTTCAAGAGGTTAACTATATCTGATTCGCTTGATCTAGCTGGAAATCGAATTCAGTCCCATTTGTATTCAAAGCTCGGTTCAGAGGCGATCGAACTTGACTTAATGTGTGCCGATAAAACGTACTCTACAAAAGAAATTTCGAATAATGGTCATTTATTTTGTCCCGTTCCACTTGATGGTGATACGTTTTGTGATCATTGCAGCCAACCTATCTGGGAATTAGGTTGGCGTCCAGTGTGTTTAAAGTGTGCAAGTGAGTTCTCATAATTTATTTAGATGTCCTATATTTAATCAACACACAAAAACAATTTTAATGGCACACACTTTATTCTGCAAATTTCCCCTGAAAATCTCTTATACTTCTATACATCTGTTTGCGCTTGTTCAGTGTTATCAGCGATGCACTCTAATACGATTAGATTACGCCCGAACTAGTTTCTAATTTATTTGGCGCTGAATGGATGCTATAATTTAGAAAATTTGACTGACCAACTTAGGACTCGGCACAGGTTTTGCTAGTCCAGTGAAAATGATTTTGATTTCAACCGAACCTAAAACCCACTGTAACTTCTCTGTTTCCACCGTAACAGTGCGATTGAGCGACACTCAGTTCTTGGGGTTCTTTCTGCTATGTTGTGCGGTAGTCAGTTTGATAATGTTGTACAGGCTTAAATGCGCGTCCAAACCAGATATTACAGTGAGGAAGCTAAGGTTGAGTAGGAAGCTTTTATTAGGTAACTGAGTCGGAAGTATGTTTACAGCTTATTCGCAAATATATACTGATATCCCCTGTGAAATTAAGCCATATTTTTAAGCACTAGAGTATATCTGTCTTCTCAGTTAAGCCAAATATGGATCAATATCGTACGGTTATCAACATATGTCCCATCATTTGGCCATCTATCCGATTGTTTCATCTCATCACCACCATAGTAGTCTGATACCAGTAAGATTTCAGTAACGAGCTTGTGGTTTGAGGGCAAGTTTATACTCTCAACTCTATGGTATGGTAAATGTTAGTGTTATACTCGATCCTAGCTTTAAAGTTTAAAATGTATGGAGCTAATATATAAGGAACTATTCACGAGCGGAGTGTATGTTATCGGCTGTAAACAGTTATCCTTAAGGCTATCCAGTCATCCTCCCAAGATTCCGATACCACCACTGACACTGCTTCCTCTTTAGACACCTCTAAAGGAAATGTCCTTTTATGGTGGAGACACTTGGGGAGTGATATTTCTACACTACCGATTCGGTTTTTAAAAATGCTGTCTATGTAATGCTGAAGTTTAACACTTCATAATATAACAAATTTAATTAGGAAGAGCATGAGAAGATGCGTTTCACTGAGGCAGCCTTTTTGTGAACCTTTTTCCTTGATGAACATGAAGAGTAGGATAAATGAAATAGTTGTATTTATTCGTTGTCTCACCAGACCTTTAGAAACTGGATGACTACAGAATCAAGAAATTTCAGTAAACATGACGGACACACGTAAATTCACATCACCCAAAGTTCCCTTCAAGAAGGCAAACAGTAATAAAGATGAATAAATCTGTCTTCTATTATTTCATACCTAAATGGCCAAATAAAGGGTATTAATAATAGTTTTGTTTCAGGTTGGAAAAAGTAGTAACTGATGACTCAAGCGCTTTCCTGTTTCCGTGTTAGTAGATATTTTCAAAAAATTGCATGACTAAACCATGACCAAGCTAATATTTTTGATCCGGATCACTGGTTATTTAAGATCAAGAGGAAGGATTATCGTTCACATACACTCGTATCTTACTGATAGGTGTCAACGAGTATGAGTATTATGTTTTGAGTGTGTTGTTAGTCTCAGTCATTTGACACCACGCGGAATGCATCACAACACCAATTTAGATTAATGAAAAAACGGTGTGACTAAACGATTGACAGTGTTTGTTTAGCTTGTGTGGGCAAGCACGAGACGTAAGTACAGTTTTTTATCGATTGAATTTTATCTACAATCCTGTTTTCACACACCTTGCTGACATGAGTTATAGTTTGAGTTAAAAAGTCCTGTTATATCACCTTGCTTTCCTTTTGATTATGTTTCTATAAGCGCAAATTTACAGTGAAAAAGTGTTTTTATGTTTTGTGAACATTCGTACTCTACAAGTAACCCCACTTTTACCTCTAAAATCAAGCCCTACCCTAACATTCAGTGTCTTACCAAAGAAAAACAACTAGCCGAGTAGTATCTTTTGGTACAAAATAAACAAAAATGTATCTGTATTACGAAACTGATCTGTAACAAACTGTATTTGAAACTATGTTGCATTTTCTTCAGAATGCCATATGACCTGTCACTGGCTGTGCAAAACTGAGGTTACTGTTCTGTGTGATGAAGACGTCAAGACCTCGCATCAAGTTGCTGAACCAAATCTATTCCCCCCATTGGTTGTTTTGGGAGACGATTTAGAACAAGTAAGCATGCTTTACATTTTACCATGATATAAGTAAATAACAACTATTTAGGAGTAGTTCATTGACTTAAACTCATTTAATCTTCTGTGATGTGCGCTGTCAGGTTTAAGGCTCGCACATCGTTTTTATAATAATAAACCAACAACCTTGATCAACTTTTATACTGCTAGGCTTTGTTATCATCAAGCGAAACCTGTTTCACATCATCTAGCGGTAATCAACCTAAAGCCTTGCATAAATATGCATGGAGCCAAGTTGTAATACTAACTTTGACACAATTATAGTAAAGTTAAAATGAATACCAATGGGATTAGGAGTAATGTAGTTGCAACGGTAATGAGAAATATTGTGCAGTGAGAATATAATTCGAGGTTAGAGACTGATAAGTTATGTTTAGTGGTATAGTTTCTCTTTATTACGAAACAGCTACTCCTATCGCTTAATATTCTTGGGCACCAAATCAGAACACGGTTGAACAGGAACGAAATTATGTTTTAAATAACAAGGGTAGATGGGAGTAGGGATTTCAATAAGAAAAACATTAGTGTATCCACAGTTTTTACACCAGGAGAATCTAGTGTATTCTCCAGGTGTCCACCGGTGCTGATTGGATAAGAATTAGCCAGCCCGCGTGCCTCAACACAATCGTGCACGTGACGTGCTTTAATCCAGTCCACATTCCGCCTAACAAGTGGAATGCTAGAACTGAAGTTCTGGAATAAAGATCAAATGTATATGCACTATGGTGACCGATTCTGAGCCATGTCACCTAATCTCTTTAACCATTGGTCACGGTTATCGTAAAAATCCCAACCAGATAGTCTGCATCTGTCAGCATAGCCTAGATCAATAGTAAGTTATTTCATCGATTGACCCCACAACTTGGTTTGAACAATACTAATTTTCCTCTAACTTGCTCCTACATTAACTCACAATACTCGTCAAGGTAGACAGTGGTTGGGTATACGTAAGGTATATCGCAACCATCTCAGTCGGTGAAAACTTGCAACCTCATCTTTACTTTATACCTTATGCTTAATCCCAGTACTACTCAGTCGTTTCACGATACGTGAGTATTGCTCCAAAAATACCTATGTCCGAAAACTTTCCAATGCTGGTTTTCTACTTTCTTAGACTATTTTTCACAGCCTTAACTTAAAACGGGGCTGCTTCACAGTATATTCACCTGCTGGTCAGCAGATATCGCGCACAACCCACTGGTTACGCAACTTGATAAGGATCGAATGAGATTTCTCAGGCTTCCTGTAAAACTAATCTTTTACTCCATCCAAGTTTTAACCATTGAGAACATAGGCAGGAACAACGAAGAGGCAACGCCATGTGTCCCTGTCTTTCCAAGTTCTTACTACACCGTTTAGATGGCTAGCATATAAGTAGTTATCTACAGGGATTCAATCAGGAACTGCCTGTTCTGTTTTCAGACGTAGTGCTATACATACATTGGGGAGATTACAAGAAGCTGCTGTTGCATTACCAGATACACGAAGGGTGATTCTCACTGAATCTCTATATTGGATACATATGGTCAGGTGTATGACTACTCTAGGATCCTGTATCCGTGCATTAATGACACGAAATTCTGGGGTCTTAGCTAAGTCCTGTTGTCTGAATCAACTTAGGGTTTGGATACTGAAAGTCCCAATATGCGGTTTGAAGAGTAATCTTAGGAGAATCGGGATAGCAATTCATGAACTTATATCGTTAGCACTAGTGGCATGTGTGGAAGAAGTCAAAAACAAAATGAGAGTTGATAGTTGAAGTAGGAAAAATATAATGTAGTGAATTAGGGATTTGATTGTAAACAGGACTAACTTGAGTGCTGTTAAAATATGAAAACAGTTGTCGCTTCACAGTTTCCATCATTGTGAACGGATGCTTCTTGAGGCACCTGAAAATCAATTAAATTACTAGCTTATTAACAGGATCATATGACACGGTGCATATACGATCTCATCTTATTACGGAGTCGGTGATCTTTCGTCTAAGAAACACACATATCCCACCATTAATTCACTGTTGATCGTCCTTCGTAAATGTAATATCACTGTTGAACATTAAATTGTGTAGTAACGGTAAAGTGGAATGTCTAGAGATGCGAGTATATCTGTTACCGATTAAATACATCAAGAAAAACCTAGATTTTTTTCTAAGAATGGTTGCTCACCATAATGTCTTCACTTTTTGAAGTCTGAGATGCAGATTTAAACCCCATCACGCTCTTTTGGATCTAGGAAACTTCATAGTATGGCTAATATTCGTACAATAGAGTTGGATCAACGTTAAGTGCATAAACGTGTATTTAGCTAATGAGTTGCACTGAAAGTTAAACTTGAACTGTGACAAGTATTTTAACAGTACAAAAGCGTCTTCAATCGTAGCCTATTTTATTCGTTATCCGCCTTTCACTGTACTCATAGTGTAAACTAATATATTAAGATTAATAGTTAAAACCCAGTTACAATCCAAATTAATGACAACAATAAGTTTTAGTTTTCTGACTCAAGGAAAGTTATTCATATGTGACTAATAATTAAGTAACCTTCGTTTGTTGATTATCTCATAAATCTGCTGATTACTGGATATGTACTATTTGTACATTATGCATAATAATAATGCAGTCGTTGTCTAAGGTTATTCTAGCAATAATCGGTTAATATTATTAGCATTTTGAAATAACATTTTAAAGTACGATATAAATTTCTGTATGTTTAATAGTGGAATATAAACTTCTTCAAGTCTTCCGTTTTCGTAATCAGTTAATCTTTAGTTGTAATACAAAATATATATTTCCAACGTTTCAATCTGTTTTACTTCAGCAGGTTGACAGCTCAGTCTCTAAGTTATCAACAAGTCCGGGGAACGATAGCACTAATTATCTGGCGTATGAAGGAACTTTAGTTAAGTCTTCTCAACTAGACTTCCATGTAAATAATCACCAAACTTCTGAATCTGATATACATTTACTTGATACTGTTTCTCCAAATGAATTAAATGGAGTGAATAGTCCTGTTGACAAAATGATTGATCATCTTGCGTTCGAAAAAGTTACTTTACAATCAATATCTCCTAGTTCGAGTTAGTGTTATTTTTAATACTACTTTGTTGATGTTTATTTTATTATTTACACTCCTTTACTAATTAAAAATGCTTACCCTAACATAACTTAACCACCGTAAAACTTATCGTCTTCACCTTAGTCGTATACAAAAATGTAATATATTGCAGCTCATTTATAGTCTGCATTAACAAATGTCCCTAGACTGACATTAAGATTTCTTTTATAGGAGGTTCAAGCTTATGTACTGATTGAACCATGGATAAACGAAAATAACTTTTTGACTTAAAAATGACGTTAACTGACGGATTATCAAAACTAAGATACCGTAAACTTTTCATGTTATTTTTGAACTTCCCACTATCATACATTTGTGATCTCTGTAGCTAATGAAACATATAATGAAACATTTTCAAAATCTTATTGGGCTAAGAAAGTAATATGCTATCATTATTGTTATGGATTAATCACCATTTCACGATCATACACAGACCTGTCTTTTGCCAAGTCTGTGTCAATAATATCAACATAAGTCGAATGCAACAGTTCATAAAGAACATGTTTGGTTTCGGAATATATTTTGGGAAGCAATCTTTTTGCGAAGAAAGACTGTTTAAGTCAGTCAGAAATTCTGATGGAGGTTAGCTGCTCAATAATATTAAGTTGAGCAAGAGTATACACTAATTAAGAATAAAACAGTGCAGAAATATAATAATATATAATATAATAATATAATATAATTACCAAGGTTTGACTTGATAATTTCGAATAAATTGAACATTGGTTGGATTGTTGCTGATAAAAATAATATACTTGGAATATCCCATTGAGTACAAGAATAAAATTTTCCAACATTTCATGACTTAGTATAGGCCAATTCGTCATGAGATGTCAGGAAATTTTATTTTCCTACTCATTGGGATATTACAAATTTATTATTTTTATTAGCGGGAATATAAGGTTCACCTACAATAATCCATTTTTAGGATTGGTAATAAGTTTTTATCGAGTACACTATTCGTACTCTTCACTTTGGATTATCGTGGTTGGTGGGAAGATCGTCATACTACTAGAGTTCGTATACAAAAATAAGTTATTTCATTGGTATAATTTACCCTAAAAACCGTTGACGTGAAGATTTAGTTCAAGAGACTCAATTTCGTGTCTGATATTCTCGCCTATTGATGACAATGAATAGAACTTTCTTAAAAGATTGTAAAGTTTTACGAGTATTTTGAGGGGTATTACAGATTCTTAACACCTTCGGTCTTTCATGAACACTTAAATTAGTAGTCGGACTGTTTTGATATCATACTGCTTGTCTGTCGTAAACAACTTCACCATTACTGAGAACTGGGAATTTTAGCATTCAATATGCGTAACAACAAATAATTGTCTTTACCTCGATGTGGTTGTTTGACAATACATAAGAGTTTTTGTTCATGAAATTAACACGTGCTTGTTGCTTCCTTAATAACATTTCTGTTTTATGTGCGACGTTTAGTTCGTAGTCAGTTATAATAGTTTGTAAAGGTCGTCAACTTCCTGCTTCTTTTGGTTCCAAATAACTTCTCGGTTTTAGCTTTGATTACACAAAGAAGTAAACAACAAATCCGTTGTGACGTACAGGTTTTAATTTTTTTATTCTATTTGATTTACGCTAAAGAAACATAGTTTTATTAGTTGAAAGCGTGGTTTTGATTAAAATTGTTTTTCTCTATTACAATCATTTTAGATCAGTACACTTCCATGACTACAGACTTCGACACACCGTTAAACGTACCTGCTAAACTGGATAATGGAATATCAGTAAAGAAGAAAGCTGAATGTTTGTCTCACTCAACATTGTCAAGGCGTGCTACTGAGTTTTATAAATCGAAAACACCAGTTGATGTAAAATTAGTCAGTAGACACTCATTTCTTTGTGGAAATAAACCAAAAGTTTCCCTAGCTTATGATTTTTCAAGCTTAGATAAGGAGGCAATTCGAGATCGAGGGATTCTTGTGAGACAGATAAGTCCATCTCTTACTGAATTACAAAACACTTCTAAACCACTTCAGAATACAAACATTATCTCAGATACCCCGAACTCCGTTCCTTTTAATCGTTCAGATGAAAGTTCGTCTTTAGAAAAAGAAGTTTCTGATATTGGCCTTGCCAGTGTGATGCAAACAACTCAGGAATTTGTTCGCACCAAGCAAAAACGAAGCTTTCAGACTCACATACGTTCTTCAACCGCGCTTCCATTAATCCCTATGGTGGTTGGACCGCGAGAAGTATTGCCTTGGCTCTCTGATCGTTTGAAACAGTTAATTCAAATATTTAATGCAAATGAATTCGGATTACAAGCTGCTAGTGTAAGTTTGTCTTAAACTCAATACTTGCATAATTAGTGCAAGGAATATTTGTTACCAAAGTTTTTAACATGCTATAGTTAGAAAATATAATTGATTGAAAAATCAGGTCTATCGCAAAATTTAAAAAAATCACAAACAACTGTAGGCCCAAAAGTTAATTCAGGAGGTGGGATAAAGTCAAACTAAATATCAACATAATAATCTAAGAATTGTTGACAAAAACCATCTAAAATTAATGCGTGTTGGATAAGATCACTGAATTGCAATATGAAGTACTGGTTAGTCTCCGAGTGATCATATCAACTAACAGTGTTTCTAAATATTGACCTGGGAATTGTAAACTTTTTGGCTTGTTGTTGGTAATCGATTATTGAGGGCTTCAGTTGACGTCACTAGATTTTTAAGGGGCTTTTGTTGAATAGGCGGGGATACTTTACTAATTTGATACCTGGTGACTGGAAACCCGTAAATCGGATAACGTAAGTAAAACACAAGGACCATAAATAAGAATATATTTTACGCCCAAGACAAAACAAAATGATATATGAATGCACCAATTGATTTACAGTTGGAATAACAGTCAGATTTGTACACTTTGACGAGTCGTATCGATTAATCAATAACTTACTGTGTGAACACATGATATCATGCTGTTAAGCATCTGTAACCAACAGATAGACCTAACAGACTAAGTTATACCATAACTTCTTGCTGGTATGTACTTATCTGTTACAGACTGGAAAAAAGTCAATTTCATGTGTTACTTGCACTCTGATCTGTTAATTACATGCTTACCATATTGGCTGTCAATCCATCAGTAACCATAAAGTGTATGGATACAACAACTCGTGTTACTTCTTGTGGTCAGTCTTATTGGACCATGCTAAACGCTCGAGTATTGTTTTTTCTTAGTATATGAAGCCACTTTGACTTTGGCTCATTAGTTTGGTGGTTTGAATCCCCTTCTCCTTACCTTTGGTTTGGTCTGTCGTTTAGTATCACTAGTCTTCAAATCAAGTGGTTTATGTGGCGCATATGTATTTGGTGCCCACTTGTAGTTTATTATAGTTCATCAACTCTTGTGTTTATTCTATGTATTTCCAGTGTTCTGTTTACTATAGGGTATTCATATTTTTCCGTTTACAGCTAACTGGTACTGATTCATGTGATTGCGAAGGCCAAGTTCGTGTACATATAAACTTACTTCGCCCTATTCAAATGTTACTTACAGCTAGACCAGCTTCCATTTTCGACGTAGTTGGTGCAAAAAGTGATGAAACAGATGATGATGATAATGAAGAAGATGACGATGGGGTAGAAGATGTTAGCAATCGATCTGAAGATGATCAGAATCTTTGGTTGGTCCAAAGTGACAACAATAACTGCCATCTTGTCGCGAAACAACACCCTTCTCATACACAACATTCTTTTGTACCAGGCAACATTCCATATTTTTCATCAAATAATAAAGTGCATAAAGCTGATGGAAATATTGTTGAGTCACATCGCCGGTTAGGTAGAACAGCTTCAACAGTATCTACTTTTCGGTTACCAAGAGGAAGCACAAAATTGTTGCATGTTCGACTGTAAGTTACTTCTGTTCTATGAGTGTAAAGTAGAAATCTAATATTTTGTTGTTAACGTGTAATATATTCAATATCAGCTTACCGTAAATCTGCAAATCCTAGTTTCTGTTCCGTATGAACTCGTGGGTATATATGGTTAAAGGGTCTAAAACTAAAATACGGGAATTTATTGCTTAGTGCTCTATAGTTTTTCGAGTGGAAGCTTAGTGTTTAGGGCGTTTAAATCTCAACTGCTAAGAGGTAGGTTTGGATCCCTCTCCACCTACTTCGTTTGCGCCAGCCAAGTAGTATCACTAGGCCTTACACATAAAATGTGGTTGAAGTTTAAATACGTACGAATTTATACTTGTTCAATGAGTTCGTTCTACTCAGTTCGTTTTGTACACAAGTCTTACCAGAAATAAGTTATAAACTTTTAACATGAATTTATACATTATCTTTCGACTTATATATTATCTACCAATTATTAAACATGGCGAGTTTAAAGCAGCTAGTCCCTTTGATAAATTTCGATGGTGTAATAATAAGACGAAGACATTTTTATTTAATTTTAATGATTTCATTATTTATTACTTCATACACAAACTCATACTTCTTTTCTACTGATTTAGTGTAAAGTGATAATGAATAAAATAGTTTGTTAATTAAGAGCACTATTTCAAGGATGATGTATCGCATAGTTAATTTGAAATATATTTAATTTTCAATGGAATTTGTTTAAAAGAGCTTTTCAATTCATAAATAGCTTAAATAGTTTGCACTTAAAAGTCGGGTACGTTGATTGTCTTTCTGTGTGTGTATGTAAAGTATTGATGTGAATTGCTTTAAGAGGAAAAATATTGGTTTGTATTTTGTGTATTTATCTTATTCTATAGATCGACAACTGCACAAATGGTTATCTGTGCACTACTTGATCGATTTGGTATACGAGACAATCCTCAAAAGTTTGCTTTATATGAACACACAATTGAAGGTGATCAGAAAGGTCAGTTATAACGATGTCATGTGATATATATTGTAATATTTTAATGTTTCTTTTTAAAACAGATGATTAGATCACTAATGTGTTGAAGCATAGTTTACGGTATTCATAGTGTGTGGGGTTGTAATTATTTGTTATCTTTTCACTTGGTTGTGTTTTGATCTTATTATTCTTATTGCCGACGGGGCCAGTAAAGTAAGCACTCGCTACATTTGCATTGTTCATATTTGACTTGGAAATTTTGTCTCGTTTGTCTATTAACAAAATGAGTTTCCCACATATTTAATATTGTACATGAATTACATTGAATGCCTTTACTTCATCATGGTTTGGATAAAGTCAGTGAATTTTAGCAGTACCGCAAACACAGAATGCTTACTGTGAAACCTAGAAATCCTGAATCCAGTGTCGTTTTTAGGCCAAAATTAGTCATTCCTATAGATTACAAAATGAAGAAAAAACTAACTACGTAGTGTCCTATAGTTTTTAATCGTTCTCTATATCATGTTATTCCTTGATAACAACTTTTTGCAAATTAATTCACTTATTCCATAGTTTAGATAAATAGCTTATAACCTACTTTCTTAAATTTTCCATTAATGGATCAAATATGCAATGAGATAAATGGATTTATATTTGTTTTCAGTTAGTCCCGGGAGTAATATCTTTTAAACTATTATACCACAACAATGTCAAGTTACTTACAAAGATCGTAGGGAATTGTATTTATCAGCTAACAAATTCAACAAGTTTGACACTGAACTACATTGAGCCGTGGCCTTTAGCTTTGTTTTAGATTTTCTATTTCCATTTTTGATCCGGAGTCATCATAAAAGTTAGTTCCACTAGGTGGCTAGGTTTATCTTGGTTTCTGATAGACCATAGAGAAAATTGATGTATAGGATCTCAAACTGTGAAAGATTCGAACACTTAATCTAATAACTGGACGTTACAGCTACTTTGACCAAGGTATAGACTAATTTTGATTTGTCTAAAAATTCGAATCAATGAAAATTCTAACCAGCTATCAAGTTGTTAACTTGTTAAGTAGGATTTATAGTTTAAACTTTAACTGCAGTAATTGTTATCATTGCTTATGCAAAGTGTTTACCTAACTTTCGTCCATTTTTTAAGATCTAGTGTATGTTTATGTATTCGTGTGTCTGCTGTATAAAACTTTTTATCGTAATCCATGTTTGTAGCATATATTATTGTAAAAAATAGCATCACTTTTGTTTGACGATCCAATTTCACATTTGCCTAGTAACCTTTACATCATATGCAAAAGACAACCATTTAGTTTGTTACAATTGTTTACCGGAAGCTTAAATTGTTAGGTAACTTTTCTTTTCTTATATGTATTTATGCATGAGCCCATGATATTTTCCAAGGGACACTTTTATTTATTCATGTACGTGATCCATACCTTCTGTTTTCAACCTTATAAACATTCAAATTAGGTCACTAGGTTGCAATTGCCATTTAACTCTGTTTAGGATTATAAAATAGTGAACGGGATGTCGAGTTACCTAGACTAGTGACCACATTAAAACTTGATCGGTTGACTTTAATCTTCAAGAAGGACTAAAGAAGCATAATATTTTTGATTACTCAGTGATCAATCAATGTATCCATGTTACCTGCTTATCTCTTAGATTATAGTAATTATACTAATCCAGTCATTCACAAAAAAACTAGACATGAGAAACATCTTATAATGTATGAGATAACTTTCCTCTGAAGTAGATGTTGAGAACTACATTATTTGAAGCTAGTAACGGTTGTTTTGCAGTGTTTATTAACAAAACTGAGGTACAAATCTATTATCACTCGTACAACCTACCCAAGGGCTATCTGGCATTATAGTAAGCTTGTAGCCATATAAACAATGGGCTGTTTCTTTTCCATTAGTATCTTTCCTAGTCATGGTCTGTAGAGTTTATTTTTCCACTCAAAATGTTTGGTTGTTTTTGGCGATCATGTTTTTAACAAACCTCGAACGAGTTAGTAACTGGTGGACATTGCGGATTGGTTTCAGCTTATATAGTTTTTGATTTCAAAGTCATTTTCATTTTACAGTCCGAATTAGACTGTATAATGGTTTCAGAGTAGTCTTATATTACTAAAAAAGGTATGATTTATATGTTTATATTCATGTTTATAAATATTTGAATGATTATCAATAAATGATCTATTTAGGGTTTCCATGATCATTTCATCAAATATGATCGGTTTTTGGTTAAGGTATAGTTTAGGGGCTAGCTCATCGGGATTGATGTGACTTTCAAGTTCAGCTTTTATCCATCAAACCACTAATTCAAACTTCATTCTGTTTACTTTGATTTAGGATACACAGAAGCATATTAGCGTGGGTGTCCATGGTTACTTAATGTTGTTGACGTAAATTTAAAAGAAATAACTTAATATCTCACTTCCTTGACAGAGATTTCGTCCACTCTCAGTAGGATTACTACTGCCCTTAGTTAACCTTTAAAGAACGTGTTATTATCTGTCTTGAGGTTTAAGAACTTGAAATTCCAAGATTGTTATATCTGGTTTCTACTAAGGAGTTTCTTCATCTTGACCAGTCGTTTGTTAGTATATTTTATAACTGCTTTTTATCAGTTAGTATTTTAATTATGATAAATGTTCACATTGTTCTTTGTCGATCGAAGAGATAGATTTTCTACAACTCACTACCATTACCTTTAAATAAATTGTGATGAAAATAGTAATAACCGCTTTAAGTGTTCTAACAGTTAATCGATTTCTCAGTGATTAGTCTGACTGGTCATATACTTATAGTGTGATCGAAACTTGGTCCAACATCTTCGATCATGCGATTAAAGGTCAAGTAGTGAAAATATTTACATATCATTCATTGCTTTGCAGAAATTTATGTGTGAAATGACAATAACTCTCTCTGTAGTTTTTTACAAATTAATTTAGAATTTCTTTCTGTTGTACCTATGATATCATTCAGTATTTATTTTCAAAGCTTTTCTCCATTTAAATCAATTTCAAATTTTTTGTAATAGACAATATTTCATGTAGTCGATTTTACTAGTATATCTTTCGAGGGTCATTGAATTAGTAGTTAAACTATTCAACTCTTAATCGTTATGTTAAAAATCCGAACTCATTGCTCCATCGATATCGGTTTAAATGATTGAGTAGTTTGGTTAACTTTCGTACAAAGTGTGTGTGGTCCCAAAACTGCTTACATTAAACATTTGCTTACTTAATATGTTACAGTTATACATATTTCCTCACATCAGTTTCTTCTCTTTCAATCATATTTCCATTGAGCATTAACTATTCCTGCTCTTCGAAGATTATAAATTTAATTGAAGACAGTTTTGAATTACATTCAATGTCTCTTTTATCCTTTAGTTTCTGTACGAAAATTATTTGATAATGAATCACCGTTGGGGTTACTATTCAGGTGGGTTGATCAAGATCCAAATAATTTTAACAATATCCTGAGTGTGAAGCGATTAGTACTACAAGAGAATGAAACCGGTGATATTGAAGTAAGTTATTTACTACTTATATGTTGCTAATCATCTTACCTACTCACGCCTGTTACCCACCCCTCTTGGGACTACAGGTTGTCGATCAGGATTTCTCTTGTTAGCGTTTTTTCGGCAAAGTTATTTTCTGCGTGTTGAAGTTACTGACCCCGTAACCGAAACTCCTTTATCCGGGCTTGGGACCGGCAATGATCCTAGAAGGGTTACAGACGAGGTTTACCAATTGTCTCAAAAGGACAAGTAATCAGTATCCATGGCATATTTACCTATGAGATATCAATACCTTAGTGTTTACAGAATACGATGAATAACCGCTGCATTTCACGTACGTTTGTTACCCCTCACCTACTTCGGTTTGTAGAACGAGATAGCAAGCATCCTAACCCCTCGTCAGCTGATGATGTGGCTCAAAACCTTGTATAATAATCTATACATGCTAATTAGTTTAAATTTGTTACAACGGTACACACAGGGTTTATTTCCTATTTGATTACAATATTTTTGAAGCGCACTGTCAAATCTTCTTTCAAGACAAATTGATTTAATGTGTGCTGCCGCTTGTCTGTTCAAGTTAGTTATTAGCTTGGTTTTAACCTAAATACGTTCATCTTTGTTACTTCGGAAATTTCATAGAAAGTTGTTTCTAGCTTGGAGGTGGTCTATTTATATTAATCAGTTAAATATCTCGGTTAAACGGATAGCTCGATGTAACAAACATATGCATTAAGTTGTAACTGTTTAATGACAAATTCGTAGTAATTTGAGTAACTTACTTTATTGATAAATCAAATATAAAAACATAACACAATCACTAGATATCAATGACTTTTGAGAAGGCTTCAAAATGTATACTACATCAGGTAGATTCGTTTAGGCACCTAAAATTTCAATCATTATTTTGCTTACAAATTACAATTCAGCTAGAATTATGTTGTTTTCTTCTAAACAATCACAACAATAACTTTTCATTAAGAAAATTTCTCATTGAAAGTATGCTCAATGTAAATAATTGTATTTCTATGTGATAATACAATAAATACAACTCAAAAGAAATATGTAAATGACTTCATGTTTGTTGTGTACATATAATCAGCTGATATGACCAATTTGAGTAAAATTGATTCTAAGCCTATTATTACTTAGTAATTGTTTATTGAATTACATTTAGTTTACAAGTTGTTTTAGTGTTTATAGACTCATTAGGCATTTTTAAAATAGGATTTATAAAGTTGACCACCATCAAAATCCTGGAAGCACTGGACGGCCGTTCTATTATGGGACTCCTCAGCAGTGCGCATCCACGATCCCACCTTGCGAGATTCGAACCCAGGACCTACCATTCTCGAGCCACAGCCTTTAACCGATAGACCACTGAGCCGGCATCCAACGGTGTTAATGTCTAACTTCAACCGATCCACGAATTATGAGCTACCATTCACCAATTGTCTTCAGTGAGTTGATATCTCAACAGACGTGGTTGAACTCCAATGGTCACTGCTTCCCACTAGAACTCCAGGACGTGTATCTTGAAGTTAGTCACTAGTGAGCATATGATTATAATCAGAAGGGGATTTGTGGAAATTTCAGTATTTTTCAAAGTTGAAATCATGAGTCAATTGAAGTTAGACCACCATCGAAAACCTGGAAGCACTGGACCACCGTTTCGTTCTATTATGGGACTCCTCAGCAGTGCGCATCCACGATCTTTTGTGATTGTTTTCAGACTATCATTGCATTGTTTTTATGAAACGATTAAAAGTATAAGGCTTTATATTGTTTATGGATAGATTTATTGTGCTCGTCGCATTCAAATATTAAGAACTTCCATGTAAAAACAAAGTAAAGTTGAGAAAGTATCTGGATTTAATTTTTAACTGATAAATTTAATTGAAATTCAGATGTAAGTTCTCTAATATCTTTGAGGTAGTGATGAATGAAAATGTGAACAGTGCAGTAAGATAATATTTTCCCTGGGGTGTTTCATTAGACACTATTTTTTAGTCTTTTTTTACCAAGGTTTGCAATGGAAATTGGACAAGAAACTACTTCATTCTTATATGTAAATGTATCCTATTTCAATTTTATTAATGGAACGTATTTACTAAGTACACCTCTAAATACTCGGCTTTAAGTCATACTTTTCACATGGAGGTTAGTGTTACCATAAATTCGCCCAAGCTCAAGTAAAACGGAGTTTAAATATGGAACTCAGTAACTGGAAGTTGCGTGCCTTAACCTATGGACCATATCTTCACCAAGGTTTGAAGTATTAGGTAACTCATTTGCCAATTAAGTAGCTATGTACTTTGCGTTGAGTCACACTACTTATCTCACTGCCACTGATATTACTTACCTCGTATCTGAATTTATGGAGCTTAGTTTGAACCTTCAACTTACTGAATAAAAGCTGTGGTTGATAGTAAAGCCTTCAGTGACATATTGGTCATCATTTTAAGCATAATATCAGAAAAACTGTAGCTAAATATTTCACTGCCACTAATCTCAAGTTAGTACACGGTTCCATCAAGTTGTTTATACGATTGTATTTTTACTGAGAAGGGATATTGAACACGGCTCATCATAGTGTATACATATACTGCAAGATAATGCCTCTATTTTGTATTTTGTTTTTTCATTCTTAGTGGACCACATTCAGTTTATCGGAATTGCATACATTTTTGGGAATATTGAATCGTGAAGAAAGTGATTATCGTAGACGTATTGAAATGAAATATGAAATACGCAGAAAAGAAATAAAACGTTTAATGGAATTACATAATAATAAATTTAAATCTTTAGACAAGTCATTCAATGGTCAATTTAATTCTATTACTTCTAATGTAACCACTGAAATTGCTGAACGATATGAAAATGAAACAGTAACTAAACAATCATGCGATGAAAACTCGGAATATAATACCTATTCTTGTATGGATTCATTGTCTGCACCGGTTTCGCCAACATTATTTCGTAAAACAAACGAACAAATAAATTTAAACGGTTAGATTCAGCTAAATTTCTTATGATTAATGTTTACCAATTTATTATTATTATTTATTTCAACACATAAATATTGGTACAAGGAAGTACCAGATAAATATGCGTCTCACAAATCTCATTTGATTTGTGTGAGGGCTGTGATACTGCCCAGGTGCCCAGACTGAAGTAGTTGGTTTTCTTAGGGAGCCACACCCGGAGCCTTTGACCTGATGGTCTAGTCCACAAGGCAGTGGAACATCGTGAGGAGATGCAGTCCCATGGTAGCCGGTGACCAACAGTTGGTTCATACGCCATTTGTTCCTTCAAGATACTGGAGCCCATGTGAACCATTGGTTTGGAATCAGGGTTTTCCAACTCCCCTAGTTGGACTTTCCGTGTCCACCAACCCGGTTAAAGCTCCGGACATTCGCTTTTGGTCCTCTCAATTTCGTAAACAACAGTAATGCCACGAGAAGGCAGTGAGTAGGACTTCCCTGGCAGAGGCTACATATTCTCGTGGCCATGTGAGAGCATTTTGAGAGGGAGAGTGGACTCTCCCCACTCTCGGCCGTACCAGGGCATTTGGGGGCAGCTATTTGATAAAATTTGTTTTACTAAGTAGTATATTTACTTCATATTAAACGTTGGATTATTTATCTTTACTGTCAAAAAGATTTTTCAATTAAGAAAGTTTACCAACAATAAACAGGTGTATTAAGCATCATTGAGATTGTATATTATAATAACAGTATGATTATTAGGTTAAGTTTTTAATAATAATAGTGATAATAGATGTGTCCAGTACCATAAGATTTGTTACTGTACAGAATTTTCAGCTCCAGTTGTGCAATATTGCAAAAGATTCTCACGTAACATACATTCAAATTTTAATGACTTAAAACATTTTTTGGAAGTATTTTCAACAGTGTTTATTACATTATTTGCAGTCATAAAAATAGGTGACTTAAACAATACAATGATTCAAATTGCCAGACTAGCTTAAAGGAAGGAAATCGGAAAGCAGTAGGATGAAATTTGTCTGAATAATAATAATAATAATAGTAATAATAATAATAATTAATACTCAAGGATAGCAGAAAACTACTAATTGGATTATGAATACGCATCTACGGCTTCCATGTTCATAATTCTTGTTAATGATAAGTACATTAATTTGATTATGAAATATTTTAATTGATAAAAACGTCTGCCATACAAAATAATATCGTCTACGACAATTTTTATTTCAGCTACAACGAGACTATCTGAATGAACTTTCAAATAATGCATTTTTTGTATGACTGTAACTATGTTGATGACAATGAACGCTAGCGAAAACGTTCATTCAATTTAATCGTTTAATCAAGATCAAATCAATATACTATATGTTAAATAATGAAATCTCGCAGATCATATAGAATACTCGTTTTAAAACTAATCCTTTTGAAATGATCATTCGGTTTCCACATATGATACTTAATTTATGTAGAACTAGTATGCAACCATGTTAGTTGAAAAAGTTACTGTACTTATAGCTGCGAGAAGAGTACAATCATGGGTAAACGATGACTAAGCGTCTTCCGTTATATTGTCATTTTGGGTCATGTAGGAATTGCCTTTAAACCACATTACCTAAGTTCTTTAATCATGAATTACAATTACTTGGTTGATCTCAATCAAAAAATCTATATATCACCAAACGACTCAGACCATTGTTCAATGTCTTTTTGGATGGAGACTGGGCTTTCTTCTGATCGTTCTTAGTCCTTCTAACCATTCTTATATTAGGCAACATGGCATGTCTGGATGGATGTTAGCTGGGGACACGCAACACACCTCACAACCATCCTGGCCAATAAACTTTTGCAACTTCGTCAGTAGATTTGCCGTTTTTACTTGGAACCCTAAATTTAAAGTCTGAGTTGCTTATCTGGTAATTTCACCATATACTTTCAGTACTTCCAAGACAACTGTGATCACTTACTAACAGCTTATTCATTTCCTGAGGTTTCATAAATCATATTTCACAATCTCTAAGGAGTAATAAGCAAAATATTGTGGAGTATATTCACAGATGAACATTTAGCCTGTATAACAGGTGTTATCATTTAATGTTTTTACTGTAACCCATCATTTTATAGTTATTGTTAAATATAATATTTCATATTTTGAATTGTTCATGCCGTTGTTGATTTGAAATCGATGGTGGGTTAGATTTCGTACCATTTTAATTTTTGTTACATACTTTTTATATGTGAAGATAGGATATTATTGTGTTTGGTTTTATTCTTTCAGAGATTTCTTTACACTCTCAGATAAATTTATTTTATCTTATTTCAGCACAATTTATTGATTATTTGTAGACCGTTGAAATTTGTTTAAAAAATCATGATATGAAAAAGGGCGCTAATAATGATGATATTTTCTTTAAAGTTTATATTTTGCTTTCTTAACTATCACTGTAACATGTATTGTGTGTAGAATCAATTCAAATATTACAGTACTGTTTCTATGCTAATTTTAACATTTCTTTTGTTAGCTTGCATAGTGTTTGGTTTTAGACAAAAGGGAAATATTCATCAACTTTATGGTTATTGATTTGGTAAGCTATATCACTCCTACGCAGCTGAAATGCACACACACATATGCACACATTGAATTTACGCACCTAAAGTATTTCATTTCTGAACCTGTTCTGCTGACATTAAGTATGAACAGAATATTGATCATGATTTACATTGATATCCTAAAAATTCTCGTTACTGTGATGTTTTATGAACCCAAAAAGTAATATGGAAATCAGGGTGTCAGTGTTGAAGTTTGTCTGTGTATATTGTAAATTTGTGATTTTATTTGTACCAATTCTTTTTTTTTATAAGAAAGGATAAATATAGTATTAGTGTGTTTGTTCAGTTGACATATATCAATAAGATATATCATTCCAAAATTTGTTTATCCGAACTTTCAAGAATCATTTTTTCCTTTCACATATCTTTAATTTGTAATTTTAAAGAAATTGATCATGTTTAGAAATATTTTAGATATCTCATGAACTGAAAGAAAAGGGAAAATATCTCTTTTTTCACTTATAAAGGTGAAATATAATAAAGATCATATAAAGGGTCTTTGGATTGTCTTAGTATATTACATTAACCCTGATTTGTGTGTGCTTCGCATGAACATTAAAGTATCATGAAATAAGCAACTTTACTATTAGATTAGTAGTAGCTTAGTTGGCTATCCATTTAACTTCAAAATATCATGTTTCAGGTTCTTGTTGTATGTGCCTTTAGTTTGGAAAATCGGATATTAGTAGTAGTATTATTAACCATCAAATAATACATCCAGCTCAAAGACGAGTATATAAACATTCACTTTGTTGATCAGTTACAGTGACTTCATCCTAGTGGACATTAACAAAATACTAAGCTATATGTGCAATACTAAGTCAGGTTTATTTATTTGTATTAGACTTAGTACTTCAACATTGAAGATTCAGCAATTCTGGAGAGACTCTACCAAGACTGTAGCCGTTATACCATAATTATATTCATGTGCTAGAAAATATGCAAAAAAATTCTGAGAAGTGACACGAAACCAAGTCAAAAAATTTGTTTAGCTGTGCTTTTGTTCTGAAGCTTGACTTGTTCCTCCTTTGTCCGTAAGTTTAGCATTTAATTTGTGATTTCTAAGGCTGAGAAAAACCTGTTCTTGCACTTAATTTCTGAAGCGATCCGTTAGATGTAGTTGAAACTTTAGTGTATCTGGGTCGTTGTAAGAGTTCTGATAATGGCATTGGAGATTAAATTAAAAGTTAAAGTGACTTATACCAGTCTGGGCCATTTTTGATGTTGCCGTAATGTTAGTTTAGTTGTAAAACTCCGGGTTTACAACGTGTCGTTGTTGGGGATGCTAAATCCCCAGAAATCATTTGGTAAACATCTTATTTTTGTAATTTTGAAAATTTGAATTTTTCACTTGCGCATAAAAAGCGTCCACTTTTACCTTCAGTTTGTATTTCCCACTTAGAAGGACCTTAAATGTCATCAATCCGTTTCCTCTTTTAGTGGGCTATTTTGTGAAGTTTTCCAAGGACATTTTTGCAATGTATATATACTTATGAGATGTGTGCTTGTTGATTCGTGCTTCCGACTGCCTGTGGAGTATAAATTTCCTTCGGCTGAATCTGGTCTTCTCCCTCTAGTTATCAGGGCTGGGAGCATTGTAATAGTTAAGCTTGTCCTGTTGTATTTCTGATCTTCGTTCCGTTCGTCGGTTTTAAGTGGTATCGTAATCTCTTCAAACGTAGGAATCTTTGGGAGCAGTTATGCTATATACTTGAAAAAGCTGTCCTCTCTTAGTTGGATATGTTCAGCGAACTTCTGTGTTCGATAATCGTTGTCTCCAAAGGATTGCTGACATTCAGCGACAACACCGTATTAGTAATTCCAAGGTTCGGCAATTTGTGTTCCAGCTCAATAATCACAATGTAACTGGTATCACTATCTTGAAACACCAGTTTCAGTTGCTCAGGCATGTCTTACAGATTCATTCCAGAGATTTCTGCATCTCTATTTGCCAATTTAAGGCTCGCGTGGATAAAGCAGAAAGGCGGTCAGTTTATGATAGGATGCCGAGGTATCAAAGGAAGCTGTGTGGGACTAGGATTTGTGGGTTCATCTAGGCTCGCCGGTTGGGGTCTTAGATATGGTGCATCTCAGTGACTTGCGAAGTTGTTAGACATAAAACAGAAACTAATGATAATCCCGCCTTAATTTTCTTTTACATTCTTTATAAAATGTGATAAGGTCTCTCCTAATTGAAAGGCTTCTCCGTCGTATTTTCAACTGAATTATTATTATTAATGACTATTCAATACTATATTTTTGGTACAATATAAAATTCTCAGCACAGTGTTTCAGCGAATTTTCCTTTCTTGATCGATACTGATGATAGATATTAAAATCTTGTAATGATATTGAGCAATTGTTTTCTAAATCGTTTACCAGGATTCCTGAATTGGGACTACACTACAATTAAGATACATTTTTATACTTAGTAGGAATTGAAGACAATCATTCTTGCCAATTATTGATCGCCGGTTAGATGTTGTCAGCACTTTAGGAATCAACATCTGAACAACGTTCATTCTTTTCAATGCATACTGCCAGCCACCACGATGTCTTTGATTGTATTTTTTGTAAGTTATACAGAGAAAGGTTGTGAACTTTTTATAAATACGAAAAACAGGTAACTTTTTGAAATATTGAAATAGCAGGAACAGGTATCCCAGATATTCAACCAGTCCCCCAGCATACACTACTTTTGTCCATTTTTATTCATTTATTTTTAATCAGCCTCCACCCCTCCTTATCGCTTCAGAAATTTATTTCCATATTCGTGTGTGGAATATTTATTTTTATTGCCTAGTTGCACAATAATTTATGTGTATAAAATTAATAAGTGCAAGAGGGTCGTATTAGTACAAGATACTCTGTCGAAGTCATTGCACGGAAGGATTCTTCGTTTCAATTGTAATTTTTTCGAAATACATACTTAAAAAATACCTTATGAATTTCAAATGTCCGGTATCTTCAGTTAAGTGACTTATTAGAACACATATTTGAGTATATTTGAATTGTGACTAATAGTAAAATCCGGACTGCTTTTCTCGTCCTATTTACGTTCCGCTGGCTGGATTTACTTACATCTTAGAATTATTGTTTGTACAGAAATTCAAACGTTATATTGATTACCTTAAACCCCGATAAAATACTGAGTTTAGTTAATCACTAGCTTGTTCAGTAGTTTACGCATGAAGTCTGTTCATCAGGGTTTGTATTATTTCTTCGTTGGCATCTCTGTATTCCGCTGCTAGTCACAATCTACATATTTTGGAACTTTTAACAAAGAGGCTATATAAAGGTCTTTTCTCAGAATGATACCATGCCAACAAAGACTGATCAATTGCAGTCCTTTATTTTAACACCGGATTAATAAAAATCCTTACATGTGTTCTAATCTGCACTTAGTCACTCATTAGTATTTCAACCTTACATTTATGTATAAAAGGTTTATTGATCCAATTTTTACATAAGTCTATCAGTTTTTGTGTAAATGAATCACGTATTCATGTGCTTATAATGTTAAAACTAATCTTCATATAGCCTGTTTTCTCTTCAAAAAGTCTAGTTTTTCACAAGCCTCTTGCTTTATACTCTTTATTGCCAATATATGACAGATTTCAGATATCTCTATAGATTGGTATACACTAAAGTTTTAAGCTCCCATTCAGTCGTTTTTTCTCGAAATATTTTGAATCCAACCCTTTTGTCGACCACTTTATTACAGTCATCACATTCCGAATTTATATCAGGGTACTTTTTTAATTTTTAAGATCGTATACACTTGCTGGACCATAATTGGTTAGTGTTAAGATCACAACGTACTAGTAGATCACTTGCTGGCTAGGTTATTGTACAGTTAAATTCAATTGTCTACAAATACATCTACTCTTCATATATTATCTACACATATTACTTTTATACACCAGAGCAGAATGTTAGTGCTCTACTGTACATTATTCGTAAAACCTAGAATAATACGTTGGTTTTATCATAGAGATTCAATGCTAATCAAACTTTTCATATTTTTAAAAAGTTACTTAGTGAATTATTAGTCAGATTTAGTCTGGATATTTGTATTAATCGATGCTGTCCTTTTTTAGTACTTCATTGAATGAGAATACAAGAACGGTTTTAGGTTGATCTCATAGTTTACGCGTATTTCTCTGATGCCTCTGAAGTTTTTATGAGTTTTTTGTTCTTTTTAACTAGCTCTCAGATCAGTCACATCACAGTCAACACTGTCATTAACACTGTAAATTTTTGAGATTTAATAATTATATATTATTTTATAGTTGAATTCGTGAGTTAATTGAAAGTAAACCACCATGAAAAGCCTGGAAGCACTGAACGGCCGTTTCGTCCTATTGTGGGACCCCTCAGCAATGCGCATCCATGATCTCGCCCGAGAGATTCGAACCTAGGACCCATCAGTCTCGCGCGCGAGCGCTTAACCTCGAGACCACTGAGCCGGCATCCAACGAGACTGATAGGTCCTGGGTTCGAATCTTGCGAGGCGGGATCATGGATGCGCACTGCTGAGGAGTCCCACAATAAGACGAAATAGCCGTCCAGTGCTTCGAGGTTTTCCATGGTGATCTAGCTTCAATTGACTCATGAATTCAACTATAAAATTACTAAAATCTCTACAAAACCTCTTCTAACAATTATATATTAGTCTATCATAGGTGTCGAAATAATCCAATCTAGTCGTAATTAGGTTTGTTTTAGTATTGAGACTTTTCTTGATAATGTAACATCTTTATGTCCAAACGAATTCTTGTTTTCGAAGTGAATTATATAGATTTGATATGTTTGCAAGTGATTTGTTGCACACACATACACTTTCATCAGAAATTGTTTATATGAAATATATCTACCGAAATTTTTTTTTCAATATTCTTATTACTAGATGAAAAGTCGACTTTACCAGGAGTTTCAAACTCACCAGATTCTTGTTCATCTTCAGAGGCAACACTCAATCGTAATACAATTAAACACAGTCAACTTTCTAATGCTGTATCTACGTTACCTCGTGTACCGTCAAATAAAACCTCTGAAATATCAAATACGTCTAACAAAATTCCTTCTATATTCAAATCGTTTTCTAATTTTAAAGCTAAAAAAGCTGAACTTGCCCAACAAAAAAAATTAGCTAAATTGGAAAAAGCTCGTATTAAAGCAGAACAACAACAACAACGTAAAGAACAAATTAAAAATCATCCACTTTCTTCATGGAAATGGCGTGGATTCGGCACACTTTCACCGTCTAGTTCTTCATCAATGTCTCCTACTGGATTTTCACCATCATCACCACATCAATAATAATAAATCGACTGTACTGCATTGTGATAATCATATTCTTATTTATTTTTGTCAAGAAATAAGCAGATTAATTGATTGCATACTATTTTCTGTCTTCTATGTCCTCTCCACTTCATTCAATAATGTCTTCCAGCTCGATTGTGTAAATATTTACTTGTTTTTTAAATTCTTTTCATTTTCAGGTACGTTTTGCTTATTGCATCAAACTTTCTTATTTTTTATCAAACTCCCCTATGCTTCCTTCACTCGTATTTTCTCTCTCTGTCTATCTTGAACAATCCTTACTTGCTCCATTACAAACACCACAGAGGCCTTTTATCATTGATTCGATTTTTTGTTTCATAATATAGAGTAATAAAATTCTAGTCTCTTCATTTTATCCGATATATATTCCTTTGTTTCAGCAGCAAAAACTCTGTTTTATTACGTTACAGTTCAGGTTCAGTATATATATGAAGCGATTTAGTCTTCTAGAATATGATCAATCATGTACAATAGTAATAATAATGATAACATTATTACATTTGTTTACCATATTGTTTGTATATGTGCATGTACCTTATTTATCTTCAATAGGTCACACATTAGGAAACATCTAGATTAACATACCAATATGAAATTATTTTCTTTTCAATTTATTTAAAATCACTTCACAATTTCATTCATTTTTAAATATTCATTTGGAAATATTTCAGAATTTTTCTTTTTTTTTATAAATGAAAAACAAAAATTCTCTTTTTCAGATAATAATATGTACAAGTTTAAATAGTTAAATAGATAATCAAGTATGAAAACCCAGCTCTTGAATACTTTTGAAGAGTAGTTCTGTCTTATTCTTCTTCTTCCTCTTCAAGATGTTAGCAATAAATTTGCCGGAAAATAAATCCTTTAAATCCAAGTGAATTTTTTCTTATTGTCTGTTCCGTCATATTAATTCTTCACTTTTGTTGGCATATATAGGTGTGCATTAAGTCTAATAATTCCCAATAAATTTATGACTATAATTCCCAGGCTATCAACTGTTAACTATCACTTAACTGTTTCAAGTTAGATGGTCATTGTGTAGCACATTTTATCTTTGTTGTATTTCGGTAACTGTTATGGCTGGACATATGAACAAAGAAATTGCAATACTAGATGTAACTTGACTAGATAAATCAACGACTAATACACAACAACATTTCATCTCTGTCTATGCTGTATAAGTGAATAAAAAAACAAACTTATACGGGAGAGCTTTGATGTTTCCAAAAAAGGTAGTATGGTATTTTACAAGGAAGTCAATGGGAACAGATTTCAGATGCGCAAATAACAAAAGTAACTGTTATTTTGGTAATGATATTGATTTGGGCTAGCGTCAACAATGCTCACTTTAATTATTGTGCTACTACTTAACATATGAACTGGTGTATTCTTGTATACAGAGCCGGCAGAAATCGCATGAAAAGAATTCATCCTACTTCAAGACCTCTCATCAGCTGTAAACAACAATGTCATAAACAATTATATAATGATAAACAATGGTTTGACATACTTTCGTTAGTGAGGTTGAGTTGAAGATTCGATACGTGAAGGGAAACCATAATATGAGGTAAAAGGTTCAAGATATATTAACGGAAGTCGAAAAGGACGGTTTAATATATAAAAAAAGGAAACTAATTAGAATTGACGAGGTAAGGGTTTAGTTACTAAAAATTATACTAACAATGAGGGATTACATAATCGTAGTAAGGATAAATGGGTATATCAGTAATAAAGCAGTAATCAAATAATTGAGTGATTATTGACGGAAAGATCGAAGTGTGGGGATGTAACAAGATTATCCGTGTGCAGTCATACTTATCATGACGAAGAAAGGCTGACCGCGCTTTTCTATATGCATAGGTTAAGTCGGAGTAATCTAGTGCTAGTAGCCTCTGCAAAGCGAAATCAGGGTGACACTTGTTGTTTGTTAATTATATGGAATACCATATAGTGCTTGATCCTGATGAAAAACTTTAAAATGACTTCATTTGATTCCATGAATGTTGCATGTAGCAGTATTGTTTCTAGTGGCCTATGTTCGTTTTCGGCATGTTCATATTTCTGTTAGATTTTTTATTATCTATGAGGTCATCTTATATGTAATAGTTATAGACTTTATATAAGCCAATGTGTATGTCCATTTCTTGATCTAAAATACAAGCTACATTCCCGATTAGTTATATACCTACAAACAGTTCTACCGACTACTTTATAGAATATATTTGATAAGTTTCTATATCAATTGTGCTCACTTTTCTATATATTATTGACTGGGTGTCTATCAAATATTTTTACTGATTTATTTATTTAGAGTGGGATAGTTGTTTATCTTATTCAGAGTATGTTTATTCCATAGATCTTACGTAACTAGTGAAATCATTTTTAATTTCATACTATCTGATTGAAATCCTATTTCCCATTAACCAATAACATGCAAAGGAAATCTTCCAATATAACTTGACTTATTAACATAAACACAAGAAATAATTTTAAAGCAAGCTTTATTATTTTATTAAAGGTATATTGTTATCTAATTAATATTTCATATTACAATTTCATTGAAGTCCTATATAGTTATGACCATGATAAAATGAAACATTGAAAGAGTAGGTATTTATCCACTGCGCTTTGTTCGTAACAGCAATGATTTAATGCGACCTCGTAATTCAGCATTCTGTTCAGAGTTTGTAATACTTAAACCAGTAGAATATCCCTAGATTTTTAAAATAAAAAAAATAAAATGATTGTACTTATTATAAGCAAAGATGGATAGTGGCTAGCAGTGGAATCCAGGACGCGCGTTTTGTTTTATTTGGGACTCGTCAGCTGGATGTACCTGCATCTCAGAGTTGATGTTCACTCTTGGACTCGAACAAACAATACTAAGTGGATTGTACGTATTGTTTTAATAAAAAGCGTTAAGTATTTACGTTTTGATTTATTATAAGGCAGTTTCAGTTTATCCACCTTAAACATTGAAAACGGTATTTCTGCTTAAGTTCGATATTATAACATGAATTTAAATGAAAAGTTAGCACAGACCCATACTTACTTGAAGTTGTATGAAATAAGACAATCATGTGACAAACAAATATATCTTCTTGTTGCTACTAGTTATTTGAACTTATTCGTATGATTATTTTCAGACTCCTACTTATATAAACTATCTTTAGGTACATCTGTATGATCATATAATTGCACATGATCTTCAGGGTATTTTTATTTTGTATACATATGAGTTTCTCAATTATATATTCACACTTCGTCCGAAACTTATATTTTCTACCTTTAATTCATTGAACAAAACTATCTGAAGCTGATCATTCTCAAAAACATATATCAGACTTTTGGTGTAGCGTTGTCAAGTGTATTTGATAATACAACGGAATTTATCTAAGAAATATACAAAATCAATAACTATTTCGAACAACCGGAATCTGAGTCAACAACTTGCCACACCGCTGAAAGATGTGTTTTCATATGATAATCTAGACGAATCTATTATATACACCATGAACAATATCTGTTATGCAGTGTAAACATAGGACATGATAACGCACAAAGTAATTTATTCAATTAAATCAGAGGTTATTGATTGATGAGCTATGGATTTAGTACAAACGTATTTTAATCTTACGAAGAAATGTTTAGTATTAGTGCTTAAGTCGCATTTAAGTACGAAGTCGATTAATATATGCTTTTAAGTCATTTATTTAAACCTGAGTGTTTTGTAACACTATCTACACGAATAAACTAATCTCATTAGCTCTTAATGTAGCTAATCCTCGTTAGAAAGTTGGATGAAAATCGATTTACATTGTTTACCTTTTCAATAAAATGGTTCTTTCTCGTTAAGAAATATTAAGATATTTGGAGCTGAAACATTAACTGAATAAATTATTTTCTCGACTACAAACTGATTGATTAATAGGTCCTGGGTTCGAATCTCTCAAGGTGGGACCGTGGATGCGCACTGCTGACGAGTCCCACAATGGAATGAAACGGCCGTCTGATCATGCATACAATAATCAAAGGATAAAACTAATCGAACGACAGAATAATTCCCTAAAGAATAATTTATCTAATTCAATATTGGTTCTGTCGTTGTTATTCAATTAATTGAGGTTTTGAATTTTCTTCCTTATCCATCCATCTATTGGAACAAGTGTTCGTTGGTAGTATCATTTCAGCATATTATTTAAAAAATCAATAACTGCACCTAAACGATGACATTAAACTTACCGGGATAAAGGTGGGATCAAAACGAGTTGTACGTTTTTCCTTTTCACGTGCTCTATCAGACATAGTCAGACATGGCATTCTACAGTGAGAACAAGATTAAAACCAAATATTCAAGTTCAAAATAATTGTAGTTATAGTTTTATCGTATCGTTTCTAAATATAAACAGACAAGTGTCTAAAGATAGGAAGAAAATATCATTTTAAATCACTAATGAGGTAATTTTTAATGGAGATGTGGTGTGTGCTACTGGTGTCGACGGATATAAGTAGTGTGTATTGTCAATCAAAGGTGTAATGCCTGGAGGCGGAATGTTGGAAAGATCGAAGAAAAGTGAACGAGAACAGAGAGTGATTGGTATGAGAATAAGGGAACAATAAAGTCTGAGACAAGTGATCGACATTTTGCAAGTGAAGTATTTACTGTATGGTTTTCAGATTTTACTAAGAGATTTTATAATTGTATTTTCAAATACATCTGGTTGTCCCTCACTTGTGTTCACGTTTGCTACAGAAACATATTATGCTACATAGTTTATTTGTTGGTATTTCGATGTCCACAACTATTAGGCTAAAACAAGTGTGAGTAGTTCCATGTCCGACAGTAAGAATGTATAGTATAATACAGGCAATATCGAGGCAGTCCACACAGGATGCACATATGCCAACAAGAGACTGATAAATTTGCAGTCCTAAATAACAATGAGAAGATACAAGTAAACAACGCGAAGTGAATTTAAACTTCACCCCATTGCACAAGCAGGTGGCTATCAGGACTCAGTAGCTAAGTGGACAATGCGATGGCGTTTGAAGCGACGGTACTGGGTTCAAGTCCCAGAGTAGACATCAACTCTGAGATGAAGGTACACCCAGCTGACGAGTGCCAAATAGGACGAAACGTGCGTCTTGGATTTCACTGTTAGCCACTATACCTCTTTTTATAGTATAATATTGTTGAATTTCTTTAAGATATCAAGTGAAAAAACATACCATATCACTTAATTACGAGTCTTTATTTCAAGCATTCAGGGAGCTAGAATGTTTTGATTGTTATTTAGAATTAGGTAGGATGAACCAAAACCTTAAATGATCATACTTCGTGTACAATGTTATTTTGGAAATATATTCTTGCTTAGCAGCCTGAACCTTCTTAAATATTAGGTCTACATTAAACAGTATTGGTAATAAATTGTAGGTCACACAAAACTGTAATCACACAAAAAGTTTGTTGCAACATTGTAGAATAATATATATAGTTATTTGTGTATAAGATGTGACTTGGATTATCATGAATTAAACTGTCGAGTTTTCCGAGTCATTTGAAAACTCTGCAATCTTTGTTGAGGTTTGTTAATTTCCCAATCATGATTGTAAAAAGACTTCCAAATATAGAGGTGCATATTTGTTAGTTACATTATTCTACTTAGCCAGAGTAATCTCTAGTAGATTGGCAGTGACATTGTATTTTAGAAGGAATTGTTTAAAGTTATACTTTTTTAAAGTGTTTTGAAATAAGTGCGTGTTTGAAAAATTTGTCTTTTTGAGCCACTACATTTCCTATTTCTTTATATGATTGATACATCACCCACCTCTTAAGTTTTTAATTCCGACTCCAAGTGACCTCTAACCTGTTCTTGAATATATATATATATATATATATATAGTTATTATCCATAGCCTTCGTCATTTTAATTCTGTTCGTTCATCTAGGTTAATTGTCTCGCGCTATATTCTACCTTAATGTTACATTTCAATACATATATGGTTGTGAGCAGTTGATGAGAAACAACAAAATATTATTCCGTATCAATGTCTTTTCTGGCTTTATTCAAATTCATAAAGGGAACCTCCGTAAATGCGTAATACTGTTTAGTCACCACCAGTTTTCACCAGTGATATTTGTGTCACCGCGGAAATGATTGGGCTACACTGGCCACGGTCTTTCATCATAACTTTGGTAATTACCTCTTAAAGTTAGTTAAGAGTAAGTATATAATAATTTTCAACATAAGAATCTCCTGTGAGGTCATGAATGAGTACTTTTAAAGAGCCCCATACTAGAGTGAAACTGGTGTTAAGTGCTTGCTGTTTTTCGATAGTTGTCGATCTAAGGTGTATTACATGGTGCAAAATTATAAGACCTTCATTCCGTTTGTTTTTAACTTGGTGATTATTGCATAAGAAATGCATATTTAAAGAAAATAAAGGTTTAGTATTGACTTACCTCTCTTCTAATTCCTTATATTTTTCATTAA